ATGAGTGATTAAGATAATAAAATAAATAGAGATCAAATCAAATTGGAAATTTTTGACGATATATTAGTCCATTCTAAAGAACAATAATAATTTTATAATTATTTTGTTCAAGTTTCGAGCATCCTACTACCATAAAATTTTAACATAATAAAGAATTCCAAGAGGTCATGGTTTCATCATCAGAGTGTTTTCAATTTTCTTTTGACTAATTTGTTATTAAAAATATTAAAGATTTTTTATATTGTACTAAATTGACTTTTTACTACTTCATTTCTATCAAATTTAAGACAATAAATATATTTTTCGGCTTTAAACTTAGAACCTCATCTGTACGAAAGGGTCGTTATTGTGTTATTAAGACAGTAATTTTTGGCTTTGTGTCTTGTTCAATTAATTTCAAACAATTGTAGCGTTGAAAAGGAGACGTAAATATAAAAGGACGAAACTGGGGAGCTTTTAAGTTCGCGGAATTAAAACAATGAAGAGTGCATTGCCGTTCGTGTACGTTTACATTGTCGTCTAAACGATAATTTTTTGTAAAATTAAAATTAATGTGATCACTGTATAAAAAAGTGATTTTTTTGAGAAACTGCTGAAAATACCGAGAAGAAAAATGCAAATTTCGTTGCTTTAAAATGACGATATTCGCATTCGCTACGGCAAGAAATCAATGAAATCTAAGAAAAATTTTATGAAATGAGTGATCAGTTATTATATATTAATTCACCTTTTTGCTTTCAGAATGTAGCTTAAGATAGTATTGTAATAGGGTTTATTTGATGAATGAGTAGTTTCATGTTTTCTCAATGTTTGTTAACTCTTACGAGATGGAAAATTAGGTCTCCCGTTTTAGAATGTCGTGGCGCTTTTATTAAATACACACTGCTTCTATACTTGTGGTTTACCTTTGATATTAGATTTTTGGAAAATAATTGATATTTTATCTCAGAGAATATAAAACCAACTGTCCTGAAATTTCATAAACGTTTTAAAATACGGTCAATCGCTAATAAAAATGTGTCTATTTTCTTGATGACGTCATCCCAAAACATTGTTGAATAGATCCTATTTCTATTTTATAATGTGCAAATTGTTCGATTCTATAATTGCCCTCTTGCATTCTGTCCATATTTTAAACTATGTATCTGCAGATTTTATGATAAGAAACCTAAAATTTTAACCTACAAGAAGTTAGTTTCGGCTTCATTTCTGTGATAACTCGTACCATTTTTCCAGAATTGCCCACTGTTATATTGCATTTTTTTGTGTATTTAAAAAAATTGATTTCGAAACCGAATACTTCTTTCTACAATCTTACTTGGACACCACAAGTAGTTATATATATATTTTCGGAATCGGGACGCCTAAATCTATATCCCTGAATTTTTTAGGATTTTTTTAGCAACTTTTTCAAAAACAAAATTTTTCAAAACCCCGGCGAACTCTTGACCATTTTCGGAACTTAACTAAAACATTTTCTTATAGATTCAGAAGTTAGTTTCGGTCTCATTTTTTCTATAACTTAGACTATTTTTCTAGAATCGCGCCCACTGGAATATTGTACATTTTTTTTTTATCAAAAAAAGGATGTTTATAAAATCTTGTATTGGGACCATAAATTATACCTATTTTTGGAATCAGCATTTCGAAATCTATATCGCTGAATTTTTAGTATTTTTTTTGCCAACTTTTTTAAAAACAAAATTTTTCAAAACTATCTTTGAAAACTTCAGCCAATTCTCGATCATTTTCGGAAGCTAGTTAAAGACAATTTCTTGTAGATTTAAGTCTACAGAATTTTTTTTATTTTCATTTCCTCGAAATATCGCAATTTTTGGATTTAAAAAATTTGATTTTCAAACAGAATCTTTCTAAAATCTTGTTTCAGGCCCATAAACACCCTATATTTTTGGGAGCAGCACTTCGAAATCTATATCCCTAAATTTTTGGTAATTTTTTGACAACTTTTTCAAAAGCAATATTTTTGAATCTTTTTCCTTATGAAAATTTGAAATAATCTTCGCCCATTTTTGAAACTTAACCAAAGGTATTTTCTTAAAGATTTCGACTTACAGAAGTTATTTTCGCCCTCATTTCTTCGATAACTTCTAAGACTTTTCTAGAACCTCCCATTGGAATATTACAATTTTCTGTATTAAAAAAAAACAAACAAACCGAAAGTATTTCTAAATTCTTGTCCCGGGAACATAAACATGTTTTTTTTAGAATAAACACGTGGAAATCCATACTTGCATTTTTTTAAATTTTTTGACAAGTTTTTCAAAAGCAAAACATTTTTCGAAAATTAACCAAAGATATTTTCTTATAGATTTCGAGCTAGAGAAGATGTTTTCGTCCTCATATCATTTTTCTACAATCACCCAAAGGAATATTGTAATTTATTTTGGATTAACAAAAAATACATTTTCATAAGAATATTTTATAAAATGGGACCATAAACGCGGTATATTTTTGGAATCAACACGTCGAAACCTATATCTCTGATTTCTTTGGGAATGTTTTGACAACTTTTCCAAAAGCAAAATTTTTCAAAATTCTCCCCTATGAAGATTTCGGCCAATTCTCGATCATTTTCGGAAGCTAATCAAAGGCATTTTCTTACAGACTTCAAGCTACAGAAGCTATTTCCATCTTCATTTCTCCAATAACTTCTAGAATCGTCTGTTGAAATATTGCAATGTTTTGAATTAAAACAAAAAAGATGTTCTGAACAGAATATTTCTAAAATCTTCTCTCGAGACTTTAACGCAGCATATTTTTATATAAACACTTCGAAATCTATATCCCTGATTTTTTTGCCAACTTTTTGAAAAGCAACATTTTTCAAAACTCTCCTCTTTGAAAATTTCTTCCAATTTTAGATCATTTTCGGAAGCTAATTAAAGACATTTTCTTATACACTTTAATCTACAGAAATTGTTTTCATTTTTATTTGTTCGAAATATTGCAATTTTTTAGATTAAAAAAAATTGGTTTTCAAATAGAATATTTCTAGAATCTTGCCTCAGGCTCCTGAGCATACTATATTTTTGGGATCAGCAGGTCGAAATCTATATTCTTAAATTTTTTGGAAATATTTTGTCGACTTTTTCAAAAGCAATATTTTTCAATGTTTTTCCCTACCAAAATTTCAACCAATTTTCGACCATTTTCGAAAATTAACTAAATATATTTTCTTATAGATTTCGACCTACAGAAGATGTTTTCGCCCTCATTTCTTCGGCACCTGCTGTCATTTTTCTACGATCACCCATAGGAACATTGTAATTTATTTTGGATTAACAAAAAATATATTTTCATACGAATATTTCTAAAATGTTGCCCGGGACCATAAACGCCGGATATTTTTGGAATCAACACGTCGAAATCTATCTCCTTGATTTTTTTGAGAATTAAGTATTTGACAGTTTTTTGAAAAACGACATTTTTCAAAACTCTCGTTTTTGATTGAAGTTTTCTTCCAATTTTAGATTATTTTCGGAAGACAATTAAAGACATTTTCTTATACACTTCAATCTACAGAAACTGTTTTCATCTTCATTTTTTTGAAATATTGCAATTTTTGAATTTCCAAAAAAAAGATTTTCAGACAGAATATTTCTAAAATCTTGTCTCAGGCCCATAAACATACTACATTTTTGGAATCAGCACGTCGAAATCTATGTTCCTAAATTTTTGGGAATATTTTGACAACTTTTTCAAAAGAAATATATTTTTCAATACCTACGAAAATTTCATCCAATTTTCGAAAATTTTCGAAACCCAACCAGAGGAATTTGCTTATAGATTACGACCTATAGAAGTTATTTTCGGTCTCATTTGTTTGATAACTTCTACCATTTTTCTAAAATCACAGATTGGAATATTCCAATTTTGTGGCTTAACAAAATTCAAACAGAAACCGAATGTTTCTAAATTTTTGCCTCAGGGTCAGAAGCACGCAATTTTTTGGATTCAGCGCGTCGAAATTTATACTTGGATTTTTTTGGGACTTTGAGATTTTCCAAAAGCGTAATTTTTCATCATGAAAGATTTAGTCAATTTTCAGCCATTTTCGAAAATTAACCAAAGATATTTTCTTATAGATTTCGACCCACATAAGTTATTTTTGGCCTCATTTCTTCGAAAACTCATCATTTTTCTAGAATCGCCCACTGAATTATTGTAATTTATTTGGATTAAAAAAAATGTATTTTCATTCGAGTATTTGTAAAATCTTGCTACGCAACCATAAATGCGCTATATTTGTTGAATCAACGCTTCGAAATTTGTATCCCTAAATTTTTTGGGAATTTTTTGACAACTTTTTCAAAAACAAAAGTTTTCAAAAGTCTCCCATATGAAAATGTCTGCTAATTTTCAACCATTTTTCGAAACTTAATCAAAGTCATTTTCTTACAGACTGCGGCCACATTTCTACGATAACTCATACCATTTTCCCAGAATCTCCTATTGAGATATTACGATTTTTGGAACTGTTACAAAAATTGATTTTGAAACCAAATATTTCTAAAATCTTACAGCGGGACGGATTATAAACACGCCATATTTTTAGAACCAGCATGTCGAAATCTATGTCCCTCATGATTTTTTTGGGAATTTTTTAAAAAATCAAAATTTCGCAATATTCTTCCCTTTCCGATGAAAATTTCGGTCGATCTTCGACCATTCTCTAAACGAACTAAAGACATTTTCTCACAAATTTCGATCTAAAAAAGTTAGTTTCGGCCTCATTTCCTCGACAGCTCCTATCATTTTTGCAGGAACGTTCAATATTTGTAACTGATTGACACAATTTAGGAAGTAAATTCTATTTAAAACGTGTAAAATAATTTGCATCTATACGAGTGGGTTATTAGTCCATTTATATATTTTATTTTAAGTACACTTTGTTATAGAAAAATAAAATACTTGTTCAGCGAAACTGTGAGAGAATTTTTTTTCTAAGTATAGACTTAAGTATTTTTTTTGTTTTGCAGGAATACAACAGAAAACAAAAAACGAGGAAAAGCACAGTTTGTTTGAAACGGTAAGTAGTAGTTTTAAGTGTCAGCTGTTCTAAATTTTGATTTGAATATAATCCTATAATTTACCTTATAATTTACGTAAATAACAATATAAGTAATGTTTTAAGCAAGAATAAAAGTTGTAACTGTACTGAATTACGATTTCTTACTACTCTTAAAAGGAATTGTTTCAGCCACTGGCTAAAGCCGATCATCAGATAATCAGCTTACGCTGACTACATTTGACCATAACAGTTAATTCTATATTGAAATACCACTATAATAAGAAAGGAATACTTTCCCGTAATCCTACGATATGCTATACACTACAAAAAACCGATTATAGGGGACCGCTAATAGTCCATTGTTTAAAGCCTCGAAATGCTGAATGACAATCTAACAATAACTTTTCTTTATTCTTTCATAATTCATAAACCGTGTTTAAAGAAACTCCGATAGAATAATTAAGCATGTTCTAATATTCAAGAGTAGTGAATTGGTTAGTATCGATTTTCACAGCTGCATGAAAAAGATTTTAAATTACATTATGAATATTTGATTGTTTTCGGTTTCTTCGAAACAATGTATTTTAGGCAAAAAGCGGTCCTCCCGTTTATGGTCATCACTGCAGTTTCACTGATTCCTCGCCGAGTGAAATTTTGTGGGCGTTTTGACGCCTGATTGAAAAGTAATCTCGCATTGGGCGTGCTGTGTGCTTATCATATCGATCGTTAATACGTATTATCCGACTCGGCCGTAGTGAAAAGAGTGCCTGAAAGCGAAATGCTCCACAAACATAAAGACCTGATTGTCAATTGTAGAACTTTCCAATATTCTGTTATATTAACGCGATCAATACGGCACGTTAATCGCCGTTAACGTGTCTTGGCGCAATGTTGGCCTCATTCATACAAATTAAGGCGGACACTGTTATTATCCGCGACCATTATTCCACGCACAATTGTGGCGCCGCTATTCAGAAAGAATTAGATACATTTTTGTTGCAACATCCTTAATTGTTGTTGTTAAGTTCGTGTTGTCTGAGTGACTCATTTATAAGGTCCGTGTTAATTATTTATAGAAATTTCGCTCGGCTTGTTCTAAGCACTCATATTAAATTCTGTAAGTAACAAGAAAACTTTGCAGTTGGGTGAAAACCCTTGGTAACGTAACTGGAGCTCCACGACGCAGGGTACAGTCTCTACACAAACATGTCGACAATTAAAACATGATCCACGTGACCCAATTAGCGGTATGTTTGCTTTGTAACAAACTTCTGACCACATTGGAAACTCTCATACACCCACGGCAAAAAGACAAGAACTAATAGCGGGATTTTCCGCAAAATATCCATTACAGACCAATCAATAAAACGACAGGGGGAACAAATGCGTCCTGATGGCGCTCGTTATACGTTTAATTTTTTTTAGTGTGAAACTGTGGGATTGCATGTAATTAGTTCTATTTCAAAGTACTGGCACTATTTACGGACATTTTCAGCTCCCATAATAACAACGTTTGAACTATTTCACAGAACTTGCAATAGATACTACGTTATAAATAGACCAGTTAATGGCATCGTTTTCACAGTTTGTAATTAATGTACTCAAAAAATTGCAATTGCCGGATATTGCGAAAACAGGATTATGTTTACAACAGGCCCCTAATTGTGTGAAGCTTTTAAAGTATTTTCTTTACTTTTTCCACGTTAATGGCCGGAAACGTCATTTAACATGATTATGTTCCAATCAAAACATTTTTCATTCTGTTCCAGTCACGAGCGATATTGACGTTTTGTGTTTTCGTTTTTTAACAAATTCCCTTTCGAAAAGACTTACTACCCGTATTTGTTGGTAATCCAATAAGAGTTTATCGCGGCAAAGAGCTTGTGTTCTCAAAAAGCTAAGGTTGGTATTACATCGATCCGATAAACGCGCGCCCCCCGCGTCTCCCAACTTCTTACCTCGTTTTGGACGTCCTTCCAGATCAAAGCCATTTCCGGGATAAGTTTGAAATGCAATTTTCTTTTTTGCGAAATTTTAATTAGGGCGGAGTACATAATTTTGCATTAATTAAGCTTCCTGTACAGGTTTTAATTTTCGAATTGACACCGAATAGTGTTTTTTTATCTTTATTATCCGTTATTAAGTATATAAGGAAAAGAAAAATTATGCTTTATATTTAAAGTACATTTTTATGAACTCATTCTTTACGAAATACGTACTTTTATGTTATTTCTGAGTACAGCTCAGTTAAGGGTGACTTTAAAATTATTTTGACGAATCTAAAAAGAAGATGGAAGATTATTTTTGGAAAACTATAAAATTGATTTTGCGAAATTTTATTTGTGATAATTTCTATACTTTAAAAAATAGCTTGCACTTGAGAAGTAAAAATACGATTGTTTGTATTTTTTTAGACATCCTTGTAGAGCTTGTTTTCTGAATTCAATAATATTTCGTACTTTAATCACCTATAATTCCCTATTGTGTTATGAAAACACATTCTGTAAATTTGTTTATATATATTTGATCTGACATGGAGTGTGGGGAAATCGGGTGAACGGTCAAACAATTGCTCCAAAAGTATGAATGCACTGAAAATGTGCAAGGTTGTGCATGTTTTTAGAAAGTTTTCCCATTGACAAATGTTTCGATCAACATTTCAGCAATTCCGACGGGTGCAGTACACGTGGAATACTAGTAATAAAAAATGTATACAATGTTTTCCTCACACCCAGGGCGGTGATCGCATGCTTATCAGGTCATGGCAGGTCAGGTCAGGTTCAGGCAAGTCAGGTTCCGGCAGGTAAGGGCAGGTTCAGTCATGTCAGATTTCTTTGGTGATAATTTTTATCAAAAATTAATGAATAAAGTTAATTGATTCATTTTTTACTTCCCGAGCGTAAGCAAAGGAAGTATTGTAATCGAGTCCGTCGGCCGACTCTCTACTTTTACGTTTTCTCGATCTTTCATGACCCCTAGAAGACGAAGAAATAGGTCTCCCATTTCCGTCTGTCTGTCCGTCTGTCCGTCCGTCTGTCCGTCTGTCCGTCCGTCTGTCCGTCTGTCCGTCTGTCCGTCCGTCTGTCCGTCTGTCCGTCTGTTGTCCCGGAGTTTTATTAGACAGATAATCTCCGAAAGTACTCGACCGATTGTTGTGAAATTTTGTACTTATATTAAGAATATCATGTAGATGGTAAAACGCTAACCAAAATTTGTCGAATCATCCCCACCACTAAAGCGATGACGTCACTTCAAAATTGTACATAGTAAATGGGTTTTCAATTGTATAAAATAACATAGTCCTACACATGTAGTTTACAACTCTGAATCGACTTTTCACCCGAAACGTCCAGATTTTTGGAAAAAAAATCAAAATTATAAAACAACATTTTGAAATTTAATTTTTAATCTGCTAACCAGAATGCTTTGAAATGTTGCAGATGTTTTAAGGCTATAAAGAGCATCATAAATCTTTAGTCAAAAAATATTTGCTTATCCCCTCCAAAAACTTGATGACGTCAGCTCAAAAGTTTGTGGAATAAATGATATCTAAAATGTACAAAATATGATGAGTCTGTACTTGTGATCTATCACTCCATTCATATTTTTTGGATTTGCATATACAGGGTGACTCAAAAAAATTAATGAATGCGTAAATATATTTTATTGATTTAATCAGGAACTACAAAACCGAATGCTCTGAAATCTTGCAGATGTTTTAAGGTCATAAAGAGCATAATAAATGTTTAGTCAAAATATATTTGCTTATCCCCTCCAAAAACTTGATGACGTCAGCTCGAAAGTTTGCCGAATAAATCATATCTAAAATGTACAAAATATGATGAGCCTGTACTTGTCATTTATCACTCCATTCATATTTTTTGGATTTGCATATACAGAGTGACTCAAAAAAATTAATGAATGCGTAAATTTATTTTATTGATTTAATCAGGAACTACAAAACCGAATGCTTTGAAATCTTGCAGATGTTTTAAGGTTATAAAGAGCATAATAAATTTTTAGTCAAAATATATTTGGTTATCTTCTACAAAAAACTGATGACGTCAGCTCAAAAGTTTTCCGAATAAATCGTATCTAAAATGTACAAAATATGATGAGTCTGTACTTGTGATTTATCATTCCATTCATATTTTTGGATTTGCATATGCAGGGTGACTCAAAAAAATTAATGAAGGCGTGAATTTATTTTATCGATTTAATCAGGAATTACAAAACCGAATGCTTTGAAATCTTGGGAATATTTTAAAGTTATTATAAGCATGGTAAACTTTTGTTCAAAATGTATTTGTTCATCCCTCCTAAAAAAATTGATGACGTCACCCTTAAATTTTGCTGAATAAATCCTATCTAAAATGCAAAAAATATGATGAGTTTGTACTTGTGATTTATCATTCCATTCATATTTTTTAGATTTTCTTAAGAGGTGGTTCAAAAGAATTAATGAAGTCAATTTATTTTATTGATTAAATTAAAGGCAACACTTATTATTAGTATTACACCCCAACCAACCCAATTTGGTAGACACAAAATTTGTTAAAGGAAAAACTCGGTTGAAACATAAGGGTAGCACGCTTATTTACATCGACTTTAACATTACAGACCTGCATTTGTTTTATGCGTTCACTTGATTCCGCGAATGTGAAATACACATGTTTATAATCAACCAATTGTGAATTTCACCGTCAAGAATTAAAATAAAACCCAATGTTTTATATAATAAGCGGAAGTCGAAGCAATAAAACCGACGGTCGTTTTGTTTACAGTTTCTGTGTTTGGCTCTCACGTATGCTGTTACGCCTGTCATCTTAAATTTACAATGTTTATACATACACGATTTTCAGTTGCCTCTGATACGTAGGTATACGTGAGTAAATTGTTTCGTTATTTTATTGATTATTACAAATCAATATTCAAACGACCCAATTCATTTTCCCGAAAATTTGAGAATATAATAATTTTATTCTTAGTATTACACTACATCTATCCCAACTGATATA